GGATTACTAGAGATACTTCAACGGAGTGGGGCCAATTTCTAAGCGTTGCTGATAACAGGACTATCAAAATCATTTTTCAGAGAAAAGCCAGCATTGATGTAGCGTGCCGCAATGTTCAGATTCCTCTGCTTCCAACACTCGTTTAACCAATAGTATGCATCTCTTCCCAGTACTGTCAATGCAGCTCTATCTCCTTGAGTAACTTTTTTTGGAGTTTGGAACTGCTGCAATATTGGGTTTGCTGGTGATATTGTTATTGTTTGTAATCGGAACATTATCACCTTTATTGACAGTAAACCAAATAAAAAAAATTTGGAAAACTCGTAAGAACCTTAAGTTGAGCTCTAACGATAATTGCCAGTGTAAGATATGTTCAAACGGTAAGCGTAAGCATAGAAGTTTAATAGTTTTTCTAGTGGAAGCTGGATCAAAATGATCACGAAATAAGAGATTTGGCCGTCGAAACTCCATTTTTGTGGGTCACAAAAAACCTGACTACGTTTTCCAGAAGTGAATCGTAGCAGTAAAGAGAAAAAAGAAGATTCAAAAGAAATTCTTTATGTGTTGGATAGAGTAAATGCTGCAATGTTTTGCTTAGGCGCTTTGAAAGCAAGGAGTGAGATCAAAAATTTTCTTTGAAATTTAGCCGCTTGGCTTTATCGTGTTCAAAATTTATCAGCGATTACAAAGCCATTTTCACAGAACACAGTCATTCTTTCACTTTAATGCTCACTACCGTAAAGACATTCTCCGTTAAGCGACCTACGAACGAGTGATTTTCGTCTATGCCTAAAAATTATTTTCAAAAAAAGCAGTTAATCTTTCAGTTGATACTCGGAATGTAATGTTTGAGAAATAGAAAAAAAAATAAGAAGGGAAACGGCGAACATGTGTTCTGAACAAGCTCTTAATGTTTGTTCCTCCTGCTTGAAGGCAACAAAAGAAATGATAATAATATTTTATTTATGTCTTTAACTATAAATACTCGTATAATCATGGAAGCAGTTTAAAGACCGGAGTGGTTAGCCTTAGCGAATCCAATTCGCTTTTGGCCAATGTCGTAGATGTTGCAGTAGGTTCGGATCCATGTGTCTCCGAGAATCCAGGCTGGACCGAAACCACCGGCGCTCATACTGAAGAAGGTGAGGGCACACTGAAATGATAAGTGATGTCCTCTTTAATCTTATGTATGGGAACAAATCTCGCTCACTTTTCCATTTCCGAGCCCAAGGTCGAGCACGTACTCAACAGATGGGACGTTGTACTTTACACCATTAATGGTAAAGACGAGATCAGGTTGGGTCTTCATGGTTGAGCATGCGACGGTGTAGAGCTCATTGGTAGCATCGTATTTGGCTCCGGTCTGCTTGACTACACCAGTGATGACGGTGGCTGGTGCTCCGATCCATGAGGTACCGGTGTCAGAAATGACCTACAACAGCAACAGATTATTAACGAACAAAATTACGTCAAAGCTCCACAAACCTGGTCCTTCTTAGTCTCTGAAAAGCTTCCGATAGTGAATCCCTGGATGGGGAACTGCCAATAGGTTTCAGCCGAAAGGGGAACGTAGTTGACTTGCGATTGGCAGTTTTTGGTGTCGATAGCTCCATAGGTAATCAGACCAGCGTTTCCACCATTGCTGATGGTCAGCTGAAGAAATGCTCCAAATCATTATTTTACCAGTTAAGATTTCAGAAGATTTAAGTCTTATTCTGTGCTTCACAGGGCTTAAGTTAGTCCATCCTATTTTTAGTTAAGAGTACCTTTCTGTCCATCCATACGGTGAAGAGTGGCTGATCAAGAGTCGAGAGGAGGTTCTGCATTGGTGGAACAACCTAAATCAAAATTTTCTAGGATAATTCATGTGATAAACATAAGTAGTCGCAGGATCTTCCAAAAATAATAACCTGGTCAACAGCCAGAGCAGGCCATCCGAGACCGAGAATACCATCAACTGGTTGGTATCCGAAAACTTCAGCGAGATGAGTGGCAACACCAAACTCTTGTGTCTTGATGGTCAGTCCTACAATAAAAAGATTTTCTTTAACTTATCTCCTTTGACATTAATTCCTGTAGTTATGTTAGTGATTGGCAGCTTGTAATTTCTAGAATTCTCATGCTACCGTATCTTGAGTAGAC